CACTTTGTTGACGCTGCCATCATAAAAGGACTTGAAACACCAATGCTCCTACATAACGGAGGAACTATAAATAACCAGACAGTCTTGAGTTCATTTGACTGGCATGCATCCCCTTGACCAGAGCAACCTGCAGTCCTTTAATTTGTAATGAGCAGCACCTGTGTGCAACTCTTCCCATTTCAGCAATCAGACAATAAAATCAATCAATCAAGAAACAAAACTCAACACTTGGGTGGCATTGATGTTTGGTTTTGTTGGGTGCCAGCACATGAAGGAGTAAAAGGCAATGAAAAGGCAGATAAATTAGCTAAAAGGGCTTTAGAGGGGGAAATAACAATTTCAATTCCTTTTGGGAAAGGGGAAGGGAAATCACTTATTAAAAGTAAAGAAATGGAGGAATGGCAAAAAATATGGAATGAAGATAAAAAAGGAAGAAGATTACATGAAGTGGAAAAGTCAGTTCAAATTCGAAGCATTAATGAAAGAAACAGAAGAGAAGAAATAATAATTAGTAGATTAAGAATAGGTCATATCTACTTAAATCACATGCTTTATTTAATAGGGAGGAAAAATAGTGATAAATGTGAGAGATGTGGAGAAAAAGAAAATGTAGAACATATACTGATGAACTTTAAGTCATATGAACTCGAAAGGGAAGAGTTAAAGAGAATAGTTAGAAGTATAGGGCATGAATGGAATCTTAAAGGTATATTAGGAAATGAAGGAAACATAACAGATATTCATAAATTAACGGAAGCATTGTTTATCTACCTTAAGAATACAAAATTACAAAAATAGAATCTAATAGATGTGAAGTAATGCTGCTACACACTCATGTACAGTAGGTGGCGGTATGCACCTTAAAGTTGCTTGTGATCCGCCATAATAGAAAAGAATAACTCAAACACTTCCTTTTTCTAAACAAACTTCTACTCTGGAGGAGGATTCCGAGGGGGGGATTCCATGCAGTGGAAATGCATCGTAACAATTTTTTTCACCTTATTTTATTTCATTTCATCAGATTTCATTATATTTTATTTTTTAACAGCCGAGTTACCAGCACAGGTTTTTCCTGCAGCACAGCATCCAAAGCAGTTGAGAGAAATAATAGAGAAATCTTTTGTCGGTGAAAAAAAGGCGCACAAAGAATTGCATGAACGAGGCATTGTGTGTATTTGCGGCTCAGACTTAGTATCTGCCGCGATGAAGAAAAGAAAGTATTAAGTTTGAAGATGAAGCAAAACAATTTCCAGTGTGTGAAACTCTTTGAGTTTAAAGGAAGAGGTGTGGAAGTAAAAGCTTACAGCACCTAGTATTCCCAAGCAAATGCTCCTCCAAGTGCTGAGCAGAGTTGAGCAGCGATCAGCCAATGGTTGAGCAATGCTGCTCCTCCAGAGGCAGTCACTGGGCAGTTGCGAGTAAACACCTCAGTTGCATGCAGGTGGGTTAATGTCCTTGCGGTCATCGTGTGTCAAACACATTCCAACTTGCATATGGCAACATTTCAAAAGGACACCAGAATAAATAAGGACCTTGCAATATGGTGTGTGTTACACGATCCCCCTGGCATACAGCTGTATGTCTCTGTGAAGGTGGTGGTGATGAATGGCATACGACTGAACAAGCACAAGTGCCGGCGAAGCAGCAACTCTCTTGAGGGGTTGCACGCCCACCTGTTCAACGCCGTCCCTTCACACCGATGTGGGATTATGCCATTCCAAGTGAGTGATTAAAACATAATATATATATAAAGCTTTATTGCAGACACATGTTCATAGCACATCATACAGTGTAATTTAAAAAGAAGTGTCAATAATAGTTTCAATGATACATTTTATTTCACAGCTCCGGTCATCACTTGTAAACATTGTACACGATAACAGTCACTAACAGTCAAAATGGAAATGTGTTTCAGGTATACTTGGTGTCCTTTGCCGTGCAGTGGAACCACCGTATAGCATCGCTCCGTGTCGCTGGTGGTCATGGCCGGCAGACGTCGTGCTTGGACGTACGGCGGATCCAGCGCGTCAACCAGCAGGCCGAGGTTCTCTTTGGCAAGGAGCACGTCCTGGAGCCCAACTTTGCTGCACAGATGCCGGTCCCCGAAGCGTACGAGCACCCCGACGAGGAGGAGCTCCTTGGTGTCGAGTACGCCATGTGCCAGTCCACCAGCTTCACTGCCAGAGACTACTACGTGCAGCAGGGTACAGTACTTGATCACACACTTAACCAATGATGACAAACCTGGTGCAAAAAAATACCTACTGTTGTGTAGACACGTTTGTGAATAGTACCATTACATATTTGCAGTTGAGGAAGAGCAGTCGCGTGAGGAGGATGAGGAGGAAGAGACGGCTGACCAGGGAGACGACGAGACGAAGGACGAGGGTCTCGGCATGTCTTCTGATACAGAGGAGGACCCGATAGACAGAGTCTGTGGGGAGCACGTCGTCCTCACCCAGGCAGAACAGGCAGAAGAGGAGGACAGTCCTGCCCTGCAAGACGTACTGATGAGCCATCGACATCTGCATCTACCAGGTATAGAGGAAGTGGAGGCACCGGCCTTGCTCCTGCTAGATCTGGCCGACAACAGTGACCACTACCTAGTGCCGGCTGACCTCAGGCAGAAGATCGCCGCCGCCGCCAGCTCACTCCAGGACCATGACAAGACCGCTGCCCGCTTCGTCAAGCGGTATGAGTCCAGGTGGGGCTACACCTTGTTCGGTCGGTGCCTTGGGGCGGACTCTTCCGAGACCAGAGCAGCCCAGAAGACCAAGTTTGGCTACATGAGGTACGCTCAGGCGGCACAGGTGAACGAGGACAGTCGCCTGCTATACCTCCTCCTCAAAATGCTGAAGAACCGTGCGCCGGCCAATCAGCTCACCTCCCCCAGCAAGGTCACGGCTTCTTTGAAGGGACAGTATAAGAGGGTCGCAGACCGAGTCCGAGACGACCCCATCCTCGGCGGTCTCGCCATTCCACTGCCCAACTTAAATGCCAAGTCCATCTCGACCTTCGCTGCCAGGGAAGAGAAAAAGGCCAACTACGGGGCGACGGTACTGCCGAAGGTGACGCCTCACCTGAAAGTTCTGTCAGATGCACCGTGCCCAAAAGCTCCTGCGCTGCTGGTACTGGACCTGAGACCGGCCTCAGGTCCAGTACCAGCATGTTCATCACAAGGCTGGAAAAAGGCATGGTGAGAAGCGGAGGTAAGTTGTCATAAGCACTTTGTGTAATGTACGGTTCAGAGGACCCAAAAACACCCGGAGGCAGACGGTCAGTTCGAACTGGTTTATTAAAGGGGCAAACCAGAGGGGGTGGTCAGGCAGGCG